GTGTGACCTGCTAAAGGTTTGGGAAGCTTTTGATGTGAAACAGTGCATTGCCTGTTGTTTTAAAGGTACGTGGTTATAAAACTAGAATCTCTTAATTTCCTTTAGAACTTGAACCAGTTACACAACAGCTGAAAAAGATTTCTAATTTTAATAAAAGACAAATAGAGACTAATCTACTCTGCACTGTCCCCCAGGACATTTGCAAAGTTCTGGAATTCTTTCAGCCTCACAAACAAAAATTTATAAATATTTACTGAAATTAAGTTTATTGAAAATGTCACCTGTGCAACTCGAAGTGAACATGAAAGAGAAACTGGAGTGGAAAGGAACAGCTTGTTACAGACAGGTTGTCCACTTGGCTTTGTATTTCTGGCTTATGAGTGGCTGCTTTAGTTTTGGTCCCTGCCAGCTGCTTCTGCACACACAGTTCAGAAGGAACATGAAGAGAAAATAGATACTTTAGGAGGCAGATTGTGGCAGCCATCACTTAATGGAATGGCTGCTGAAGGATTCAACATTACTGGAAAAAAGTGTCTTTTGAGGGAAATCAGCTGCCACTGCTGCATGACATATTGAATAAGTTAAGACATCATGCACAATACTAAAAGGAGGGGTGCAAAATATAAACACCTACAATTCTAAATGCTACTGTACAGATTCTTCTCACCCATCTCCAGTGGTGAGACTAAAATAGTCTTAAACAAATTCATACACTTCCCAAGTTTTGAGAGCTACTCAATTTTATATAAATTTTGTTCACATTTTGTAGTCTATAGTTTATGCTTTAGTTTTAAGAATCTCACTTTTGGGCATTGTTTGAGGAATTCAGGATCTCTATTTATCCTGAAGAGATTAGGCTAGGTACAGGACTATTTAATCAGCACCCAGAACTTACCTCACACTAGGTATATAACTGCATAAATCTTCATCTTTCAATTTCTTTTAAAAGAAAATTTTTAATTTTTAAAATCTTGCTCAAGTTTGAGTTCAGGAAAAACTTCTCCTTGTGGCCATTGCATCCTTGTGAACATGAAAAAGGAAAATCTTAAAACATGAAAAACAGAAAGTTGTGAAGTGTTCCAGTAAGGATGAAACCTTTTTCGGCTCCATTACTTAAATGAAGGGATGTCATGGAGGGGATCTTGGAGAATTCTGAATTGGGCAGTATCACTTTAAGCGAGGAAGAAATTCAGCCAGTCAGGATTTTGGTTGCCTAAATATTAAATGTAAAATTCATAAACATAGTTACTAAACATAAAATACTAAATTGTAACATAAAATATTTAAGTATTGAATTAAAAAAACTTATTTTTTTCTCCTCACATTTTAAATCAGGACATTTTAATTGAGGTACTTATCCTCACTTTACAGATTGCTGGCTGCAGAGTTTGAGGTAAATACAGCCACCCTACTTCCGAGTTTTGTTGTCTGAGTGTGGTTACAATCTGCACTGGAAAAGGAGCATTCTCTTTTGCTCCTCAAAGGAAACTGCGTGTAATTGTCAAAAAGTAAAGCTGGCCTAGAAAGAAGTGTTTGGGCTTTGAATTTTACTATTTTGATGATGAATTTTGCTTTTTGAAGAAAGGAAACTTTTTATTATTTGACATGGGTGATCTAGTATACTGAAATTAGTGAGCCTAAAATAGATTGACAAGTAAAATAGAGGGTGGAAAATATACACTGAAGTACCTGAATATATTTGTGAAGAGCTGTATTTGTTCAGCTGCAGAGTGTTCCTTTTTCACACACTTTCGGTGCCTCTTACAATTTTTTATACTTCTATGTTTCTTTGCCATATGTGTTTCTAATTCTTTGCAACAGACGATTTAAAAAAATCAACCAAACAAAGATTCCAACTTGTGAATTCAAAGTTGACTGTATAAATCTCTTCCATATAAAATTATTCAATATTCATTGATATTGAGTTATGCAAAGTGCTGACTTGATTACCAGGTCTGAAACTTCTGGGAAGACCGGATAAAGCAGCTGCACTGAACCTGATTGATTGCAGTTGTGTTGTGCCTGGGTACTCGAATCCACCTGCACAGCACAAATACCTTGCTCCAGTTTTGAAAAGAAATATTCTGTTTAGCAGCACATAGGTCACATTAAAGAGCTGCTGGGCCTCATGTTCTCCTCGTTGAGTTGGAGCAGTTTGATGAAGGCAGCGTTGCTGTCAGTTCTTCTGCACTCACTGATTCAGAGAGATGCAACCACTGTGCAACAGCAGGGAAGGTGCAGAATCCAATTACAGCTTTTCATGTTTGGGTTTACTGATTAGTTTTACCATTTCAAATGTTATACCTGCAGTTCATGTTTGCTTATCTTTATTTGTTACTGCTAAACTTTAAATGCTGTAAGAATTGGAGCTGGCATTGTAGCTTTTTTCAGAAAATTTCATATCTCTCTTCAGCCGAGTGAAATGGAAAGAAAGGATTAATTTGAACTTCATGGTATTGTAATGATTTTTCACTGCTATGAATTGGTTTTGCTCCCTGTAGTCTGTGTCCTTTATTGCATTAGTGCTGCAGAACAACAGTGGTGGGAGATATTGCTTTATAAACTCCAGTGTCTCAGTACTGCTGTTGTCATTCATCATCTAATATAGGCTAATTGATGCTACCACAGACCATTCCAGAATGAAAAAGAAACATTTCTGCTTTAGCTAGGTGATGGTCACTTCATCTGTAGTGAGCATGGAAAGCCAAATAAATATCTGATGTGAACCTTTATAAAAGTATATTAAAAAAGCAGAAGTCTTGTTTTATGTGAATAGCTCATGGGTTAAGCTAAAGAATAAAAGAACTGAGAATTTTATACTACAAGATGCTCCAGAGGTTTATTATTTTTCATTATGTACTGTGCTTCAAGGGTTACAAGTCAATAGTTTTAAGCTCATCAAGTTTAAACTGCACGTTTCTTTTGCCAACTAGATACAAATAATTTGTGCACAATGCGGCTTTAAAGACTTCCTCTGGAGCACTGTTGGGTAAAAAAAACCGGCTTCCCCTTCCCCCTCACTTTTGATGAAATAGAGACTTTTTCTTGAATATTTAATGGTTATTTAAAGTCTGCTATTAATAAATTACTTCTGTATGAAAAGTCACAGTGACATTTAAACCCTGCCACCAGCCTCCCTGGCAGCTTGTGGCGCGGCTCTGGTTGGCCTGTGTGGTTTGATGGCCGTGTCGCAGCCGGGCCAGCGGCTGAGGGTGGCACTGGTGTCGCACAGCAGGAGAGCTCCGTGCTCGCAGCCCGCTGCCGCCCTGCCCTGACAGGGCTCGGAGGAACAAGCAGGGAACAGAGGAGCCCTCCTGCTACGGATCTTACCTTTCACTTTGAGGCTGGAAAGGGCTTAGAAGTTTTTCCAGAAAGAGAGCATGGCTGTTAATATCCCTGCAGAAAATGTGGGAGGAGTATTGAAATTTTTTGTAAGGGATATGAAAATTGGTTACATATTTAGCTCCTTCACCCTCTTGTACTGTTCTCTTGCCTTTATTAAACAGTGTGCTACCAGGCAAGACACACACCGGGTGAATTTGTGCTTTATCTGTTTTCTGAGTGTAAAAGCTTTTGCTGTAGTGTCAGATCCGTGCTGTTAATAAACGTTCCAGCAAAATCTCAGCAGTGTCATCTGTTGTGGAGGGACTGGTCTGAGCCAGGGGCAGCCGCCCAGCAGCTCCCAGCTGCCCGAGGAGATGGGCCGTGGCTATCTGGGCATGGTGGGAAAGGCTGCACCCGTACGAGAGCCGCTGGCTGGAGAAAGCAATGGACACGAGAGAGCCGCCAAATGCTTCTGTAACTCGTGAGCAGCCCCGGACTGCTCCGAGCTCGGCCGGGGGCGGAGGAAATCGCTGAGAAAATTCCACAAGAGTCACTGGGCATTGCCGGAAACCCATCGGGAAGCCGGTGTCCCACAAGGGCGCTGTCCACGAGGGACCCGCCACTCCGTGCCCTTCTCAGGCGCGTTTTGGGGATGTGGTCGTCTTTAAAGCACCACTGCTTACGCTGCCCTTCACACAGCGCTGTGTGTCCAGGACACAGGAGAAAGCCCTGCCCGTTTTGATTCCCACCTGGGTCAGGGAGCTCCGGGCCCCACTGCCGACCTGGCTGCCCAGGGGCCGCGGCAGCACCGCGCTCCGGCCACTGCACGGCCGAGGGGCACGGGTTATAAAAACACTGCGGGCCGATGGATTTGTGCTGAGCTCTGTCAGGAACACCCAGCGTGAGGGTTTTTTTAGGTTTTGGAGAAGCTTTGAGAACTCCGAATTTCTGCACAAACCAAGATAAGGGAGACGGGGCTGAGCCCGGAATCCTCTCAGGCCTTTCAGGGGTTTTTCCGCCTCTTCTGTTTTTCCCGTTACCGGCGCAGCTCCGCCGTGCGAGGGCTACCCGGTGAGGAGCCTCCCACCGGGCAGGGCTGACGGGAGCGCCCCGGCAGCGAGGGGCTCCTACAAACGCCCGCCGCAGTCCGGCGGTGCGGGGCCGCGGCCGGGCTCGGTGCCGCTCAGCCCGGGTCTCCCCGGAGGCGGCCGGGCGGAGCGGGAGGAGCGCGGCAGCCCGAGCCCGGCGGGGCGGGGCCGCCAATGGCGAGCGCGGGGCGGGCGCCGCCGGTCGGGGCCGCCCCTCGGTGGGCACCGGAGCTCTCCCGGCGCGGCGGGGGCGGGGAGCGATGCGCTCCGGCGGGGCGGCGCAGCCCCCGCCCGCCCCTCGCTGCCGCTCCGCGCCGTGGGGCGGAGCGGAGCGCGGTTCCACCTCGCCCCGGCGGCCGCCGTGAGCTGCGCTGCGGCGGCGCCCGCGGCGGCTCGGCGATGGCGGCGCGGGAGAAGCGCGGGGCGGGCGGGCGGCCGTGCCGCTGCTAAGTAGGGCAGGGGCGGGGGCGGCGGCAGCGGGGCCGTCGCGGCGGCTGCGCTATGCGGGCCGGGCGCGGGGGGCCGGCCGGGAGACGGCGCCGGGGGCGGCGCGCCCTGCTGCCCGCCGCGGGCCCCGGGGCACCGGGGCGCTGAGCAACAGTTGGCCCCGCCGCCGCCCAGCATGAAAGTGTGCCGGCGGAAGGCGCTGGCGCTGTGCCTGGGCTACGCGCTGCTGCTGCTGCTCGCCGCGCTCAACCTGCTGGAGTACAAGTGGCGACGGGAGCCGCGGCGCTGCGGGGAGCCCCCGGCAGCCCCCCGCCACCACCCCCCGCCGCCGCCGCCGGCCGGGAGCCGTGGCCCGGCGGGCGCCCGGCGGCAGCTGGTCTATGTCTTCACCACCTGGCGCTCGGGCTCGTCCTTCTTCGGGGAGCTCTTCAACCAGAACCCCGAGGTCTTTTTCCTCTACGAGCCGGTGTGGCACGTCTGGCAGAAGCTGTACCCCGGTGACGCCGTGTCGCTGCAAGGGGCGGCCCGCGACATGCTGAGCTCCCTGTACCGATGCGACCTCTCCGTCTTCCAGCTCTACAGCACGGCGGGCGCCGGCAAGAACCTCACCACGCTCGGCATCTTCGGGGCGGCCACCAACAAGGTCATCTGCTCCTCGCCCCTCTGCCCGGCCTATCGCAAGGAGGTGGTGGGTATGGTGGACGACCGGGTGTGCAAAAAGTGTCCCCCGCAGCGCCTCAGCCGCTTCCAGGAGGAATGCCACAAGTACCACACGCTGGTCATCAAGGGCGTACGCGTCTTTGACCTGGCCGTCCTCGCCCCGCTCATGCGGGACCCGACCCTGGACCTCAAAGTCATCCATCTGGTGCGGGACCCCCGGGCCGTCGCCAGCTCCCGCATCAAGTCCCGGCACGGCCTCATCCGGGAGAGCCTTCAGGTGGTGAGGAGCCGGGACCCCCACATCCACCGCATGCCCTTCCTTGATGCTGGCCACAAGCTGGGCGGGAAGAAGGAGGCGGGGGGCGGCTCGGACTACCATGCCCTGGGTGCCATGGAGGTCATCTGCAACAGCATGGCCAAGACCCTGCAGACTGCTCTGCACCCCCCTGACTGGCTCCAGGGCAATTACATGGCCGTGCGCTACGAGGACCTGGTGGTGGAGCCCATCAAGACCCTGCGGCAGGTGTACGGCTTTGTGAACCTGGCGGTCAGCCCGGAGATGGAGAAGTTCGCCCTCAACATGACCAGTGGCTCCGGCTACTCCTCCAAGCCGTTCGTGGTGTCGGCCAGGAACGCCACCCAGGCGCTGAGTGCCTGGAGGACTGCGCTCAGCTACCAGCAGATCAAGCAGGTCGAGGAGTACTGCCACCAGCCCATGGCCCTGCTGGGCTACGAGCGGGTCGGCAGCCCCGAGGAGGTGAAGGACCTCAGCAGAACGTTGCTCAGGAAGCCGCGGCTGTGACGGGGCAGCGGCGCCCGCCGGGCACCCGGGGCTGCGGAGCCCGGGCAGGGGAGCCGCTCCGGCTGCCTTGAGGGAGGGAGGGAGGGAGCCGGGGAAAGCAACCTGGTCTCCGATTTCCTCCAAAGACTGCTGAAGGGTAACATACAGCAATGTGATGATTTCGTTCTTCCTTTTTAATTTTTTTTTTTTTTATTACCCACCCCTTGCATTGGGTTAGATATGATTTTAAAAAAAAAATCAAGTGGAACTGAAAATATGTGTAAAGCCCCTTCCTCCTCCTCTAAAACTACCTGTAATCAGGCAGTTAATCTGTACCAAAATTGTGTTCATGAAGTTCTTGAGGGTTTGAAGATGGTAACAAAAACTTGCACAATTCCTAACACATCTTTATCTCCCTTGGTGCGGAGGGGATGCCCTTGGAAAACATAATGCTGAAAATCAGACTTTTGTATGAAAGCAAATGTTCAGACATGATAGTAATAAAAGAAAATAATAAATGATATTCATTTTTATAATTACCTCAATTGTTTGGGAAATAGAGTGTTGCTTATGTACAGCTGGAGGGGATGCTTGCTTAAAATAACAACATGGACTTCTTAAAGGGTATGGGTGGAGGGCTGGAGTGCAACATTTGATGTGTACAAAGATCAGGAGCTGCTCTTGCAGGAACAGTACAGATCTCGCAAGTGTAGTGCAGGTTGTATGGCTATGTCAAAGCAGGTTTCTATTGAACTATTGTCTTTTCAGTTGTATTTAAAAAGTCTTTCAAGTGCCACTGTATTAGTGTCCTAAGAGTTTAAAAACGTTTGCCATCGCAGCAGTATTTATTTTTGTCTTGACATGTATGTCCAGGAGTCACTGTCAAATAGAAGTGGATTTACGGCGTGACAAGAAATGCAGGATTTAAAAAGACATTTATCATTCTGGAAACATTAGCATGTGTGAAAACAAAAATAAAATTATATATATTATATATATTCTATAGTGCTAACAAAACATATGTAAGATATTTCTTGACAATTTCTTGATTGGTAACAGGCATAGCAGGGAAGCATAGAAAAATGCATAAAATGATTAATTTTTTCCCTTTGTCTGTGTCTGAGGGTATATTTATATACTAAGAGGGAGGAAATGTACAGCTGTGTGTTCATGGCTGTAATAGAGCTTTTATGGAGCCAGCCCAGCGTTTGATTTCAGAGTGCTGGTTGGAGACTCGTTGCCTGTGAATTGTCATTGCTCTGTGATGGAGCCAGATGGTGGTCTGGCTCTTTCTGGGAGCTCTGCCTAGAGTCTGTCCCATCGTTAAAACTTGATGATTAAAAAAAAAAAAAAAAAAGAAAAAAGAGATTTTACTACTTCTGCTTTTGTAATTTCTTGGAAAAAGTCCTGATTTATTAAAGGTTAAGTGGTGTGTTGCATATGAAAAGTGCAGACACCCTAAGTAGTTTTTAATCTTGGTGTTCTCTGCTGCTCTTTGAAGGCTCATTTTGGAACTTGAGTTTTTAAACAAACGTAGTTTTGCCAAACAGTTCTCTTAGGAGACTACAGACTTTTCTACAGGAAGTACATTTTACATTGCCTATTTGGGTGTTGTGCCTTCAGAAAATGTGAAGAGTATGAGTAGGAAAAAGGAGATTGATTTGTGAAAATAAATTAATATAAACAGGATGCTGATAAGTGTGTGTGTATGTGTGGGTGTATGTGTGAAAATTTTAGTGATGTGTAATATGTCTATTTCTTGTAACTCAAAGAGCTGATAACTGGCTACTAAGATTTTTGAGTTCTTGATGAAATTTTGGCATTAGATGTTGAATTTATTCTGAAAAAGAAAAACATTTAATAAACTAGTTAAAAGATTATTGCATAAGGTTGCCTATACACTTGCTGAATGACTGCATTACACATTGGTTCCCTCAGCTCATTTTCACCATCAGTGAAATAACATAAAATTTAGCAATGGGAGATCTTTTAATTGTCTTGTTAGGGTATATTTCCAGATTCCAGACAGCAGTGCTAGAAACGGGAGGGATAGTTAATTTGGTATTTAAAATACAGATAAAGGTACTTGTGTTGTTTTGGAATGATGTGTTTTGTGTTACCACTGTGCATGTTCAGTGCCATGCTGAGAGGATTTTGGATGTTTGGCTTTGTGCTGTACCGAATGGGGTTTTTTATTTTCTTCAGTTGTTGTGTCTGGGGGCACTGCTTGGAAATCTGACCTGCTTGTCGAGCAGTGTGCTTGCTTTTTGTCCCTGCCTGCTTTCTGGAGCTGCCCCCTGCCCTGCCGGTGCTCTGGCAGCGCTGCTGTGGGCAGGGCAGGCGGCTGGAGCTGGGAGCCCCTCTGGAGCTGCCCACGGAGCACCAGCCCAGCTCCGGACACCGCCTCGGCTCCGCTGGCCTCAGCGTGGAACTTTGCACAGGTCTCGAGATGGGGGCTTTTCATGTTACAGCAAAAGCTCTTCGATTTTGGGAGCTGAAGCACAGTCATTTCTGCATGGTCTTTTTTGGGAAAGTTTTCAGGATGAGTACAGTGAACAGGAATCAGTTGCCTCTGGGAGTGTGAAAGAGATGAGCCCAATTGTCTTAGCTTCCAAAAATGTCTTTTGCCTCCTAATTATGTTAAAAAGATCATCCTGTCATTCTGAGACAGCACTCGCTGCTCTTCTAACAGTGGTGCATTGCAAGCATCTGCTTTGCTTTCCTGATACAAACACTGCCAGTAGAGTTACAGCATCTGAATCTGGTCCATAATTTGGGCTCCACCTACTACATTGCAGCAAGGAATCACCCAACATACTGTACATTGTACCCTGGTGTGCTTTGGTGAACAGAAGAAATAATGCAATGTTCATTTTGTGAAAATAAAGGACTGCATATTTGTTCAGGTAAAGCTTCAGGAAAACTGAATGGGATCCTGATTGTGTAAAATGCTGGTGGGCTAAGCCCTATGTTTAATGCTGCTCTATTTAATAAGTATGTGAACAACTGGCAATTAAAACACAATTTTTAGCCCTTTTTTATATTCAGGAAATAGAATTGGAGGAACTTTAACAAGCCAAACAGAGTTGAAAAAAAGTTTTAAATATGGAAAATTACAGGATAAAAATAGCATATCAGAAAGATGAAGGACATGGTACAAAAGAAGTTTTCCTTTTGTGAGGGGGGACAGCCAGCTGTGGTCAGAATAAACTTGACTTTTAAGCTTGAAAATAGTCCTGGGTTTGCTTTCTGTCTGATTTAAGAATCACAGCATGCTTTTTCAGCTGAAGCTGGTGCTTCTATTGGTGAAGGATCAATAACATAAACAAGGTACAGGGTGCACTCAGGTATGTGGGAGAGAGATGGTTCTGAAGACTTGGCACATTGGTTTGATGGAAGAGAAAGGCCAATGGGCCACTAAGTGTTGCTTTCTGCTGTGAGCAAAGCCAGAGCATCAAACAGGTGTGGTAAATTGCAATGATCATTCAGTGCATGAGAACAGGAAAACCCTCTGTCTTCCACTGAATCAACTAAACCACAAGATGTGTAAAAGTGGAAGTTGCTGCTGCTAACCATAGAGCTGACAATGATAAAATGTTAGATCAAGTATCTTTCGTTCTTAATAAAAGGAGGAAGTCCCTTATTTTTCCAATCACTGTGTAATTTGTCAGACATTAAACTTCATGCCATGACTGGGAGGAGGAATGTAAACCCACAAACCTTGTATTTCCATTATGATTAGAACTTGGGTCTTTAGAGGTGAAACACTGATTGTTATAAGCAATCATGAAACAAGTGTTTCTCATCCTGTACGCCATGAGAAGAGTAGTGAGATTATTTCCCCCTTTAATTTCTAATTGCTAGTGATGTGTTGAAAATGAAAGGTGTTTAATGTGAGCCCTTGCACACTGCACAAGTGATTTAAGAGTTAGTGTTCCAGCTTTGCCCCTGTGCATCCCATAAATGCGGGCACGGGTCCTTTTGGAGCAGTGAATGCCAGCTGTGCCCAGTTGAGTGGGACTGCTTTAAGTGAACAGAGTGAACATGGGGCAAGTGCTGCCTGTGTTGTTACTTCATCAAATGGATAAAAAATGTTCTTTTTCTACTGCCATTTCAGTTAAGGGTGTTGTATACATATTACTCTGCTGGAATTATGCATATGAATAAGGTAAGCAGATTTAATTTGGAAGCTGTGAGTGAGTCTGAGACTGCTTGCCACTGATGTATCTGACTTCAACTGTCAGTGTCTTCTGCTAGTTATCCTGGGAGTCAGTACATAGGGTTTGCATTTATCAGAGAGCCTGAGCAAGATCTTACAAAAATGTGCATGTTTTAGAATTAGAGAATACATAGAATAACATTTCAGCAATACTCATTATATTGCACACATTTAAAGTAAAAAATAAGGTTTATCTGGTTTATTTGGATTCCCTGGCAACAAATGAGTTCTGTTAATGTGTCTAAATAACCGCTCTTGGCTGTCGTGACCTCCATGATTCTTCATGTAAGTTGTCATTTCTGCAAAGAAAATGCATAAAATTGGTACAACACAGACTGTTTTATATTTGCAAGTTGGAAGATTTCCTTGTATTTATTTTAATTTGCAGCTTGGGGCTCCCTGCATCATGAGATTGTGAAAGGAACACAAGAATGGGCCTGCATTATTGACTGTGCAGAGTCTGGGTCAATGCAAATTCAGTGAGAATCAGTGCAAAATGTCAGGTGTCCTGTCTTCCCTTGATCCATGAAGAGCTGGCATCCCTCATACAGATCAACACCATGATCTGTATGATGAAAGCTATGAAAAAAAATCATCATATAATGACCTCGAAAATGGGGGAACTGGGATTAAAGAATCATCTGCTTCTGCAGTGAAACACAAAGCTGTAAAATGTGTGTAAAAATATATGGCATATTTCTTTACTGAAGAAAATTGTGTATGTGAGAGACCCATTTATACCAACTGATGTGGGTGAGCTCTCTGGTGTCCACTGCAGTTCTGAGATAGGAATATGCTTGTTATAGACAGGGTGATGGGCAGGGAATTGAGGTCCAGTGGTGGGTTACCATCTTTTTGTTCCTCTCAGAAAAATTGGTGAGTAGCCAGCACAGCCTGCAGGGCTTTTAGTATGAGGTACTGCAAATTTCTATCTGGGTATAATGTCATTATTCTGATGGGATTTGAATGGAAATAGGTCTTTCATGCTGAAAAACAAGATGAAAATGTGGTTGCAGTAACTCCCTAAATGAAATATTATTAGTGAAGCAGCCTGAGTGAGGAAGGATCTGCTGAGCCACCTTTGTCACAGCATCAACTGAAGTGGAAGTTGCTAACTGGAAGGGACTCTACAGATACAATATTAAGACATCTGAAGATTCTAGTAAGCTTTGAGTGGGATTTTTCAAGAATATCTGCATGTGCCATTTTCTTTGGAATTGAAATATTTACAGGAGTCAGCAGAAGTTATATTTCAGAGTGCCTCTGGAAATCATGGCCTCATCAATTTGTATTGGAGGGGGCCTGTGGGGGTTTCTGGTCCAAACTATTGCTCGAAGCAGGGTCAGCTTATGAGATCAAACTAGGTTACTCCTGGATAAAACCTGTTTTATCTTGGTGGGTCTTGTAAACCTGCAAGGACAGAGACTGCATCATCTCCCTGGGAAACCTCAGTGCTGTGTGGTCCTTGTGGTGATCCATGATGCTTCAGCAAAACCAGCCCCAAAATCACTAAATATGTTACATAAATTTATTAATGTGTTTTACCTGTGACTACTGACATGGGTCATGTCCTCACTTCCCTTTAACTGTAAGAGATATTGGCTGCAGCTCAGCTGTTGCAAAGGGTCAGCAGTAAAGTGGCTGGTGACTAGTGATCTCAGTGGAAAAATGTGGATTCACAATTAGAATGCTGCATCCAGCAACATCCTTGTTCTACCAAGAAGGGATAAAGAGGAGAGCAGAGGCAAAAGAAATTCACTTAGAAGAAAGGAAAGGAATAACAAAGCGGGGCTTATCACAGTTTGCTCTTTCTCTGCTATAGTGAGAAAGAAATACTGTTAAGGAAAATTGAAAGAAACAAATGATACCACACAGCAAGGTCAGGAGAGGATGAATAAAGGCATTTGCATGTTAAAAGCAGTGAGGATAGAAACCTGAAGGACAGAAAATGAAATGTGATGCTATGTGCTGTAACCATTTGTGATTAATCATGATATGCAGAAAGAATTCCTCACTTCAAAGTTCACAGTTTTAGATTCACTGATTTCCCTCACAGTTTCAAGATGAATTTCTAGCAGGAATAATTTTCATAATTATTTGGATAGTTTTGATGTTCCAATTTGTTTTGTGTATAGATAGAAACAGAGTTGCTGAACTTTTGTCTAAATATTCCTCTCTGCAGACCTCTATGCATAAATTCGCAGGCCCCCTAGTCTGCTAAATTCTTGGCACCTTCTTGTTTACCATCTGCCAGATGGTTCCTTCTCCCACCAGTCAGGGTTATCAACAATTATCTGTTCCAAGCCATGTGCATGTCTCATAACAGTTTATCATGGGAGACATAAAATGGAAAAGTGACATATTTAGTGTTTATGTAACTTTGGGAATAATTCTTGGCAGCTTTCATGACTTGCTTATTTGTCACTGGTGGTTCCAGTAAATTTGCTGTACTGGTCTGGGATCAGCCCTTCAGATTTGAATTATTTGGTCAATTTACTAAAATCAAACACCTTGCACACTCACTCAGCCACTATTTTAGGTGTACTAATTTAGTTGGTCGAGTTTTGTTCTTCAGAACACCCTTATATCTGCTTGACCTCTCTTCTCCCAAGTAACAAGTGATAAGAAATGAGGAAATGGACTCAAGTTGCATCAATGAAGGTTTACATTGGATATTTGGAAAAATTTCATCACTTTGAAAGGTTTGCCAAGCAGTGGAACAGGCTGCTCAGGGAAGTGGTTGAGTGCCCAACTCTGGAGGTATTGAAAAGACACATGGGTGTGGTGTTCAGGGACACAGCTTAGAGCTGGCTTAATGGGGGGACTTGAAGTCATAAAGGTCTTTGGAATCTAAATGGTTCTCTGATGTGATGGCTACATCAGACCCTGCCAGTGCCACACAGGGGTGGCTGGGGGCACTGGGGGTCTTTCAGCTCATGAAGCAGTGAGAAAGGTCTGGCTGCCAGAGCAGAGTTTGGGGGTGAAATCTGCTGACCTCCTTTGGCTCATGCGCTTTTCACCTGCTTTGTTGGCTGTAGCTCCACCACAAACTGCCAGAGCTGTTGATGGTAAGGGACACCTGGTTCAAAGAGGTACAGTGGTGGTGAGTAAGGGGTGAGAAACAGTTCTTTGTGCTTCTCTGCTCCTCTACAGTGCTATAAATACATATTATAATATCGGCTTTTCGCAAGTATTAAGATGAATGTTATACGTATAATGTTAAAATGGCTTTGCTGCATGAATGTAATTTTTTCTTCTCCTGCTATTAGCAAAAATTTAGGCATAAGTGGTAATAGTTGATATAGTATGCTTGAACTGCCTGCCTGGTTAGGATAAACTCCAGTGAACATATGATGGCTGTCATCAACACTCACTGCCTGTGGAAGTATGAAGCCAAAGCCCAAATTGAAAGTGGTAAGAAGAGGATTAAAACCACAAGCATGCTCTAAAAAGATGCACCTAAGGAGTGGCCATGTTAAAAAGTTCCTGGAAAATGTAAACTAGTTAATAGAAAAGTTTGAAGATGCATAAAGTCTATGAACGTGCATCAAGTTGATGCAATAGAAATGGTATATAAAAGGTATTTCCGAAACAACCTTGCTCTTGGCAAGAGTACCAACCCTAAAAGTGGCCGTGTTAACCCTTTCCTTTATTGTCTTTGTCTTCTATTATCTTCTTTATTAAACCTTTTAAAATTTACCAGGAAAGAGAACTCTGTTTTTCACAACAGGAATGAGCACACAGCAGCCCGTGCTAACCATAACACTTTAGTTTTGTAAGAGTTTAACGTCTGGTCCCTAATTACATGTTCATTCATGCTGAGCAGAGGTAAAAATACACAGTATAAAAGTACACTGTTGTGGCTACTGCCCAGAGAATACCTCCTGTGTTATTTCAACCCGGGAACCCTCATCCCAGGACACAATTTATACACATGAGCCCCCTCCTTTTATTTTACTTTAACTAGGAAATGTATCTGGTGCCACACCCGAGAGGCAGCCGCTGCCTTTGAGG